AAACAACACTCGGATTTAAAGCGGAGGTTTTCGCATTTTCTTTCATAGACTAGAATCAAATTATTATCTGTGATGAAATACTATTAGGGGATTTTTGAATAAAAAAATTATTCCGAAATTGCTTGATGAAGAAGTTTTACATAATGAAAATTAAACTCACCAGTCGAAACTGTTATTGTGTTAGACTTGCATCTACTGGAACACTTGAAAATAATATCCTTTCAATATGATTCTTTTGTCTTGAGTAATCAGATTTATGATAGGTGCTCAATATTAGAATAGAACAAACAAACAAAAAAAAAATAGATATTTTTCCTTTTTTGACTGTTGATTTCGTCTATTGTATATTTTTCAAAGACTACTTAGATATTATTATTTATTAATAAATTTTTATATAGAAAATGAATTTTATTGACGTTTTATTTTTCGATGAAACATTTCTAATAATTCATAAAATGCTCTTCGAAAAACTGTTCTACCTGCTAATGTATAAAGATAAAATGGCATACCACTAGCAGTAAAAGAAAGAATAACATCAATATTATACAAAAAATGATTTAGTACATCTTGCCAATCATTATTTGATTTTGTTGATTTAAATGTAATATAAAATTTATGTAATGCTTGTGGCATAAAAAATATAAGTAAAAGAAGAACTTGTATTAATAACATACGAAGTAAATGATGATCAGTTCTTTTTAATTTTATTTCTTTTGTTTGTAATGGAGTTCGTACTGATACAACAGTTACACATTGCATACGACAACGTAAATGTTGAATATTTGAAATAATCATTATACTAAATATAATCATTAATATTGATGGAATTAATATTGTAAATAATCCATAAACTAAATCAGTTATTAAACGACATAATATATTTTTTCCATAACATTTTAATGGTGCATCAAAAATATTAGCTTCATAACAATAAATCATATGAATAAAAACAATATTTGATAGAAGAAAACTAATAATAATGCCTGATTTTGCAATTTTTAAATTACTTAAATCTCGACGAGAACCATTTCGAGATGATAATAACCATCGATCAATAGAAGCTAACATAATTAACCATATGCCCATAGTTCGTGAAGTAAATACAATAAAAACACGAAATTTACAAATCCAATCATTTGTATCTGTTGGATCAAGATGCCAACTAGCCATTATTTTAGTTGTAAGACCAATTACAATAGAAATAAGATTAAAAATAGATGAAATTAAAAAATATAATGCACATGGATTAGAACGAAATGCTCGTCGTGATAAAACTAAACAATTTAGAGTATTTCCAACTGTTCCAAATATTAAAATTATTAATGATAAATATAAATTCATTGTATCTAACATATAATCCAATGAATGAATTAAATTTTCATTAGATAATGATACCATAGTCATTATATGTAGTTAGTTTTACTAATTATCTATTTGTATAGTTCAATAAAAAAATATTATTGTATGATCTAAAATATATAATAAAGAACCAATTGTTTAAAAATGTTGTTCATTCAAACATTAACAAAGTCATTTAATTATTATTAAATTAAATAATACATTTTTAGCTCCTAAAAACTATCATTTATAAGAATATATTTCTATCTCACTATTAATTAGAGATCTTTAGATAATAAAAGAATATTATTCATACCGATAACTTTCAAACATTTGCCTAGATAGCAACTGATGTTTATAATTTCTTTTAGATTCTTATTCTTGAAATAAATCATGTACGGAAAATATATATTACTAATTATTTAGAGTAATCTCGTGACATAGAAAAATAATATAAATCGAAAGAAGTGAAATAGAGAATAAATTTATGAAAAATTTATATATTTTATGATCCCTATAAATGATAGAAACCATATGTCGGTGTGTATGGTATCAACTATCCATCGGCTTGTTTTTATAACAGATATTTTAATTGTTTTGGCTATTGCAATCACAATCGAAATAGTCTGCTTAGTTTTATTCATCCAAATGCATGACATAATAATTCATATACACAATATAATTCTGAGATGATTATTGATAGTACGCTAGGCAAATGATATCGTATATAGTAATAGATGTTTCGCACATAAGTTCAATGATCGGTACTTTGCGGACGATCTGACATCAGTTTGGTTTTATAGTTCGATTGGTTTTTCTATTTTACTTAAATTTTCTGCAAATCCAGAAATCTGATAATTCTGTCGAAGTTCGGCAATCGTGATATGATTCTCAGAATTTTGTATAGAGTTGAAACCACCATTAAGCTATGAGATACATACGAAAATTTTAAATATATTTTGAGAAATTTTAACTATTGAATTGTTGAGATTAAAGACGCCATACAATTCAGTATTTGAATAAAATAAAATTACAAATTTTAATTTCAAGAATGAAAAATTATTCAATATGATATGATTCTGGTTATTGTACTGAATGGAAAAAAGTGACATTGAAAAATATTTTTATTGAAGAATTAAAACATGAAATCATAAAATTTCGATCAAAACTTATTTTATATCTCTTAGACCTTTCATTTGAAATCTGCTTTTCAGAAAATAATTGATGTTATTTAGATTCAAAAAAAGAACATACTGTTTTATAGAAAATTAAAACACGATTTTTGTTTTTTTTAAAATAACAAAAAGTTTGAACAAATAAATATTCAAAAAAGATATAATTGAAATATGAGAAGGCTCATTTTCTATGGGACAATCAATATTATATTTTAACGATAGTTGTTTTACTAAAATAAGACTTCCTATTTCTTATTTTATTCAATTATTTCTTTTTATTATATATTTATTAAACATTTGTTGTCAAATGAATTTGCTTTAATTAAACGTTAATTTCATGTCTTTATAAAAAGTAAGATGACATTATCTAATTCAATAAAGGAGAGAACAAAGGACTTTTAGAGCCTTTTCATTGAAGTGTGGATGTTATTAGAACTTGAAAGCAAACGAATGTCAATACTTGTGATTTTTCTGAGAGAAAAGAGAATTGCTAAGCCATCACTTCTGTTTCTATAATAATCAATTTATTATTATCAATAACAAGCGCCATCTGGCTGGTTTCATAACATATAAATAAAAACCACTAATTTTCTTGTGATAGGAGAATAATTGAACGAGATTTGTATACCTTTTATGCAACGTATCTTAGTCTCATGGGGAAACTAAGTTGTTCTTTTCGCGAAGAGTTCGATAAATTTTTTTTGTGTCAGATACTTGTCGTATGGATCTGTGTGAATAGTTACTTATATGTCCAATGTTGTATGTCTTATGTAAAAGAGGCAGGTTTGAAAAGAAAGACTTGAAGAGTGTTTTGTCTGAGACATTTTTAATAATCACATATGATGTTATCATTCTAAGGATCCTCGAAGTAAAATTGAATGAATGTTATGAAATGTATGTGTTATTGGTTGAAGTTGCCTCTATGTTGTAAGTCGTTTTTTTATTGGATGTTTCTGGACATTCATCATGGAGGACAGATAACAGAATAGAAGAGAAAATGATTATAGAATAATGATTAATCATTTACATACTTGAACAGTACTTTTGTGGACACAGAAGAAAATATTGTCGCTTTGTGTTTGTCACTGGTTTAAAGGTTTGGAAAGCATGAATTCAAAAAGAAACTGTGATAGTTGTGGTAAACGATTAAGTGGAAGTGGTAAACGCCCTATTACTGGAACTTCGATGCGAATATTCATTAGCGCACGAGTGTATCCTTCTCGAGTTCCAAATGATGGGTTGGTTTGCGATAAATGTCGATGGTTGTACAAGCAATGGATTGCAGAATATGACTTCTGTCAAATTTTATTGAATATTGATAGTTTACAAGAAGACAACGACACAATTGATGAAAAATTCAATGAAAGAAATAATGCAAATAGCTCTAATGTTGAATCGGTGAGTTAATCACAGCTACGTGAAAATATTGAAAATTCATTTTTCACTTCGTAGGACGATCAAATATTGGATGATAATGAATCTGATGAAAATGATTCGAATGGTGCAGATATGGATTTTAATGAGAAAGATGAAGTATAGTCGACTAGCACTTAAAGTATCTATATATTTATATGCAAATCTTCTTTTCTTAGGATGGTGAAATAATGGATGATAATGGATCCAATGAAAGTATTTCGGATGGTGCAGATATGGAGTTTAATGACGAA